ACATGCAGGTGCAGCAGGCGGTCAAAGAGACAAATGGTATGTTGGCCTTCATTGTGAGAGGTTTCTAGTACAGGAGCAGGGACCGTGTTGTTGCAGTTGTACAGGGCCTTGATGAGACCACACTTGGAATATTGTGTACAGTTTTGGTCTCCCTTTCTGAGGAAGGATGCTCTTGCCCTCAAGGGAGTGGAGCAAAGATTTACCAGGCTGATTCTGGGGATGGCGGGTCTGACATATGAGGGGAGATTGACTAGGTGGGGATTGTTTTTGCTAGAGTTCAGATGAAGTCGGGGGGGGGTCCTCATTGAGACTTATAAATTCTAACAGGACTGGACAGGGTAGATGCAGGGAAGATGTTCCCGATGGTGGGTGTATCGAGAAACAGGGGGTCACAGTATGAGGATTTGGGGTAGACCATTTAGGATGGAGATGAAGAGACAGTTCTTCACCCAAAGAGTGGTGAGCCTGTGGAATTCATTATCACAGGATGTAGTTGATGCCAAAACACTGAATGTATTCAAAAGGCAGCACTTGGGGCGAATGGGATCAAAGGTTATGGGGAGAAAGCAGGATTAGTCTACTGAGTTGGACGATCAGCCATGATCATGAAGCATGGTGGAGCAGGCTCGAAGGGCTGAATGATCTCCTCCTGCTCCTGTCTTCTCTGTTTCTATTAGACACTTAATTCCAGATTTTGTTTGTAAAATAAAATTCAAATTCCGCCATCTGCCATGCAGGATTATCTGGGTCTCTGGATTAATAGCCTCGCACTATGCTATTGCCTGCCCAAGGGACCCAGCACTTATCCGCGTGGAACGCCCATGGACACCGACCTCCAATCACACAACCAGCCTTCTAGCACCACCCTCTATCTCCTACCATTAAGCCAATTTTGGGTCCAACCTGCCAAGCCCACATGCTTTTACCTTCATCAGTGTCCCATGTGGCACCTTGTCAAAGGCTTCGCTGTCCTGCAGTCAGCATTGGTCCCCTGTTCTAACTGAATAAGAGCTGAGCTTGTTGACCTTTCTCAACACAACCCACTTCCACATACCCGAGTAACTATTGCTGAAACCTGTCCACAGCCATAAACACCATCAACGCTGATTGAAATGCAAGTTATTTCTCCGGGGAAAAGATGATATGAGACACTGACAGAAACATAGAAACAGGAGTAGACCATTTAGCCCCTTCAGCCTGTTTCACCATTCAATGTGCTCACGGCTGATCTGTGGCCTAACTTCAAATACCTGCCTTTGGCCTATGTCCCTTAACACCTTCGATTCACAAAAGTTTATTTCAAATTAAAAATTAACAACTGATCTAACATCACCTGCCATTTGTGGAAGAGAGTTCCAAACATCTACCACCCTTCTGTGTAGGAGTGCTTCCTAACATCTCTTCTGGATGGCCTGGCCCTAATTCTCAGACTATTCCCCGAGTTCTAGAATCGCCAATCAGTAGAAATAGTTGATTGTTATTTACCCTGATCTTTCCTGTCAATATCTTAAAGGACTTCAATCAGATCACCCAATAACTTTCCAAATTCTGGAGAAAACATAATGACAGTTATTAGAGCTTGAGGCTTTCATGGAGTCACATCCAAAAACAATTTAAATGATGGATATTTACTCAACCTTGTTGATACTTTTTCAGCCATTTTTAGAAAACAAATCATAAAAAACAAAGATAATTAAGTTGCATTAAAAAGCCCCAGAAGGAAATCCCAAAGTATACCTGCAAATGCCATGCAGACATGGTCATCAAGTGCACAGATTTTTCTCACTGTTCTCTCCTCCTGAAGTTTTGCAACAGACTTTTTCTCCACACCAAGAACAACTATATCTTTACCTCGAATCCCAACCTTCAAAACGGGAAGAGTAAGCACAGTGAGTGAGTAACTGAAAGGAAAAAAAAAACTTACAGGACTGCATGACAACTGCAGACATGGTTTGCATAGGGGATACTTGTCTTCATTAGCCAAGGCATTGAAGACAAGAGCAAGGAGGTTATGTTGGAACTGTATACAAGATTAGTTGGGCTACTGCTGGAGTACTGAGAGAAGATCTGGGCAGCACATCATAGGAAGGATGTGATTGCCCGAGACAGGGTGCAGAGGAGATTCACCAGGATGTTGCCTGGACTGGAGCAATTAACCTATGAAGAAAGACAAGGTGAAGTTGGTTTCCATAGAGCAGAGAAAGCTGAGGGCAGGATTTGAGTGAGGTGTCCCAAGTTTGAGGGGCATAGACAGCATAGCTTGGAGTAGACATTTTCTCTTAGTAGAGGGATTAATAACCAGAAGGCACATTTTTCAGCTCAAGAGCAGGACCTTCAGAGGGGATTTGAGGAAAAAAAATTCAGAGGGTTGTGGGTATTTGGAACTCACTCTCTGAAAAGGGTAGAGGCAGGAACACTTGAGACATTTAGGTAATATTGAGGTGAAAACTTGAAATGCCACAGCATACAAGACACAATGGGTGAAGGCCCTCTTTCCAAGATGTAAAAACTCTGACTCTATTCAAGTAAATAGGCTACTTCAGAGAGAACTTTAGCATTTGTTCAGAAGGTAATAGAATATAAAAGTAGATATGTGTTACTGCAACTAGACAAGGCATTAATAAGATTGCACCTGGAATACTATGTAAAATGTTGGTCCTTTAATTGAGGAGGAATGTAATTGTCTCGGACACAGATCAAAGGAGATTCACTAAATTGATAGCAGAGAGGAGGGTAAAAGAAACAACTACAGATGCTGTAAATCTGAAACAAAAACAGAAATTGCCAGGGAAACTCTGGCACCAGTGAAGAGTTAAAAAGAGAATTAATGTTTTGAGTCCAGTGACCCTCCTTCAGGACCCTTCTGAAGGGTCACTGGATCTGAAACACCAATCATTTGTTTCTCTCTGCACAGTTGCTGCCAGACCTGCTGAATTTCGCCAGAGATGAGGGGTTTGTCTTATGAAGAGAGATCAAGCAGTTTAGACCTATACTCTGGAATGCTGGGTACTGTCCCTTGGCG